ATCTTTCTCAGAATAAGTGCTTACTCAGTTTAACTTCAGCTTCCCTTTCCTCTGCCTAATTTAAATTTTATAGTTAAGTTATTTTTCCGTGCTTTTGCATCAAATCTAAAATGCAGTTGCACAGGTATAAAGAAGACAAGGTTGAGCTAATAATAGAGTGGTATGGCATTAATACTGTATGACTTTGTGGTTAGTTTGGGGTTATTCCTACCTCCTGGACATTTGCGTGTTCCTGTCCTGAAGGAAAAACCGGAGACAATTTGTGTGGGCCTGCGATGGTTTGTCAGTGGGCCAAGTTCTTCGAAAGTATGGCTGGAATGAGAAAGGGGACTTTTTGATTTACAGAGGAAAATTGTTCCTTCAGTTTTTTTTCTTCTGCCTCCTCTTACCTTCATATATTAATATAGAGATCATTATTTATCATTGTCACCACTCCACCTCTCTTTCTCCAGTGTGCCCCACTTCCTTCACTTAAATGCATCCATATGAGAGATCTTGAGTGCTTTTGTCTGTAGAGAGGTTTGCTCTGAATACTTTATCCCATCTTGGGCCCATTGCATACAACTTTGTTTGTGCCAGTGTCTAGTCTAGTCACCATTGTGCACAGCAAACCTTGTGTCTATTCTTGTCATCTTTGTGTGTGCATTAAGAATAAGTAGAGCAGTAGTTAGGCTGAAGGACTGTGTAGGATCGTCTCTAGAGTGCTGCTGATGATAATTACTGTATAGAGTGTGTCTCGAGGGACTGCAGGCCAGCTGCCTGCTTGCCTCCCTGCCTTACTGCCATGCTGTCATCCAACACTTGCAGCTTTTTTGTTTTTTTTTCCAGGGCAACCATGCAGTACTCAGATTATTTCTCTTCCTGTCAAGATGTCAGCACTATCATGACTTTCTTGTCTGAGTGCAGGATTAGAAATGGCTGAAACCATAACTGTTTCAATGATTAGTCCGAAAGGAATTTTAAAGTAGTGATATCTTTATATGGTTCACAGTATCTATTGTTAAGGTTGCAAATATATCTGTGCTCTGAGTTGCAGCATCTGGGGAATTGGCTAGTATAAAAGGTTTTGCAATACTGTAATTCCCATTTGACACTTTTCTTTAAGCCTTACTGTTTTCCTGTTACTCAACTTTGAAATAACAGAGTTTATGCAATAGCCTTGCATAAATATTAGCATTACAGAATGACAGTTAACTAAAATGTTCCTGTACTTTAAAATCTGTCAGTGATCGAATGTACCGTCCTCTCTGTTTAAATATTTTAAAAAAAGAAAGAAAAAAAGTAGTAGTAACGTAGGCCGGGCAGTTAATTGATCTTTCTTTTTTAATTAAAACAAAGTAAATTGAAAATGAAATGAAAGCAATAATTAAGAAACGGTAATTGCAACACTGTGATAAAGATTATTGTGCAGCATTTCCTTTGCAGTCACGCTGTTGCGTATCCTTGTTGTAAATCCATCACACTTCTTTTACAGTGGTACATTTTTGTTGCTCCCTAAAACCAAAACTTGGTGTTATATTTAAAGTTCAAGAAAATCTAGTGCAAATTTCCATGAATTACTTTTGTTCACTTTCATAGCATTTCTTTTTGTCTCACCCATGTTACTCAGAGAACCAGGGTTATATTGATGACCTTACGTTTCCAGATTCGGAAACTAAATAAGCATCAAATAAACATGATTTAAATATTGACCTGCAAAATTTTAAATAAGACTTCAGTATTAATCAACAGCCCTTACTTGAGGATTTTATGCCAAGGCACAGTGACCTCGTTATGGGGGTGCATGTTTGCTCAACACCATCCTACGTTACTTCACTATGTGGATTTTTACATTAATTTGTCTCCCATTTTTATATTGTTATCAGCAGTAAGAGCCCATCTTTGATACAGACTATTTGTCTGTGGATCTGCGACACAGTAAAATGTGCCTCAGGTTTCTTTCCATTCTCTGGTGTTTTGCCCAAGGTAACTGTCAGTGCCTGGAGGGCCACCTCAATCCCTACCTGACTTTCTCAGTATGCAGGGGTTGTTATTTTAGGAAGTCTGGATATCTTTTTCACCCTCGCTCACCCTTTCTTTGGGTGACAGTGAAGCCTTATTAGTTTGAATTTATTTAACTTTCCTGAGTAGTTTTTCTAGACCACAACAGTGTTTCTAATAATATATGCATAAGTCAAAGATAGTTGAAGATGCCTCCTGTGGAGGAGAATAAACACTGACACTTTGGGTTTTTTATTTTCTTTTTTCAGATTAAGTAGACAAAAATTAATTGACATGGTAACTGTTAATGAAAATAGTCACTGGTACAGACACTCAATTAGTATGCTGTTTTATGATGCTGATGTATTTGTGGATGACTCTTAACCTCTGTAAAAATGAAACCTCAAGTTAGAATAATACACTGCAGACTAATACATGAAATTGTTTCATGCACAAACTTGCACTTGTGTAGTTGAGGTTGACTACACACTGGCATTACTGATGAGCATAAGAGCTTGGATACTTTGCAAGTATCTATATACATACCATCTGACCATACTGTGATGCGTCTTAGGTCACTCGGATCAAAGCATTTAGCTGTCTGGTTAATACGTGTTGGTGTGATCTGATGATACTTCCTATTAAGGTGTTTAACCTGGCCCTAGGAAGGGTCCCATTTGCCACTTTCTTTTAAGCCCATTATAGAGTAAAAGATTGACAGATGGAGTTATTCATTTAGGCAGCAGAGCTGATCCTCCTGGGGCAAACAGTTGGGTGGCAACGGAAGTGGATGTTTTAAGAGAGAGGGCCCTGCAGGTACCTGACAGCAGTCAAGTGAGTCGGCAAAACAGAGGAAACGTGTTTTGCAGCTTGGTTTGTTAAGGCTGTGTGAGATTTTCCGCTAAAGTGGACATAAAGGAGTGAGCGACAGGCAGAAAAAAAGAGTAAAGTTTTAAAGTCATACACATCAGCCAAGTTTTTGGCCAATACCACGCAGTACAGTTAATTTCCTGCCCTTCCTTTGAACCCCATCCACGCACTGTGAAAGAATGACATTATCAGAATGTGCTGCATTAGAGGGATATGGGTAATAGACTTGGAAGCATATATGTGTACAGTACAAGCTGTAATAGCTAAAACATATAAATAGTGTAGTATTACAAACAGTACTGCAGAGGTGACCTGCACATGCCCCTGTTTAGTGTAGGCCAGTATACATCAGCGTGCGCTGCTCTCCAAGAAAACAACCTATTTTGGCTGTAATGAAGTCTCTCGACAGGCTCTCACAAGAGCTGGAATGGAGAAAGCATGCTAATAGTGTGCTGTGGCACAGAGAGGATTGGTTTTGGCATGAATTGTGGATTACTGGTCTTGCAGTTTTGTTTTCAGTCGAGGTCCACCGATGATTGTAGATTGAAAAGGTTTAACTTGGCTATTGCCTATTTAAGGGACCATGTCAAGATCATTATCCTTTAATCACTAATAACCATTAAGTGCTAGTCGGGGTTACATTTTACTCCGTCTATCAGTAAATGGTTGAAAGAACATCTCTCTCTTTCAATTCCCTCACTCTTGTGTGTTCCCCCTTCGTGAATGATGGAGTGACTGATGACTTTAAAAAACACACAGTGGCCTTTTCACGCCCCATGAACCACTGAATCAAATTGCAGCCTAAAAATGCAGACACAGTCCATGTGCGTGCGCTCAAGTGAACAAAAAATGGCTTCTATTGTTGCCTGTTTGGTCCCTACTGTAAGAAGCTTTCAAAAATGTAGTTTCTGCTCCTCTGTCTTTATTCCTCTTGAATTCAAACTACATTATTCATTCACTGCGCACGGGTCTCACGCTGTTTGCAAGTGTGAGCAAGAAACATATAAACATGTTTGCTTGCTTGCAAACATTTTTACCATAATCTGAAGAGGTCCAAATAGTTAAACATCACTTAGTACGCAGAAGAACATGATTCTGTTATGGTTGTTTTTTTTTGTTGTTTTTTTACCACATCACAAATCCTTAGTCTGTTTATGAAAAAGTCTATAAATAATTTGTTAGACTTATGTCATAAACTTTAGACAAAATGGCATTGTTTTGATTTTTTTTGTTTTGTTTTTTTTCTTGCCATGAGTCATCGAGAAATCGACAATGCTTCCTTAAGCACAGTTCCTGGTTTGTAGCATTTGACGTTGTTGCATTGATCTTTTGACAGTCTGTTACTAACAGAGTTTCAATAGTACACAAAAGCAGTGGATTATGTCACAAGTGATCATTGTCTTCTACATTTTAGATCACTTATGTGGCCCTTATGCTCATGCAGGTGTCCCTGAATAACTAATGTATTCTCTAACAGCATCCCATCTCAGTTTAACTCGACTGAGTCAGCAATAACATATTGTGTTGCAGTCCTAATGTTATCCTGATGTAAGTTTAATCTTTACCGGGTAGACAAATAGAAATACTGAAGCATTCTTTCTGTGCCGGCCGTGATTTAGTTCATAGTTCTTGTTTTTCCTTTACTTTAATGGAGTTTCTCTTCTTAATGACTCCCCAAAGACCTTTGCTGTGAAAACATTTGCATCCAGGCTCACATACAAGCCTGCTGGTGCAGAGGGATTCTAACTCTAACACAGTCTATGTCTCACTGTCGCATTAAAAAGCCAATTTCTTTTTAATAGCAACAACAGCTGGAGCTGACAGGACCGGTGTCTTGCTGATGGAGCAAACGGCTTCTTAGCTGTCCTGCAGTTTAAGCCCAAATGCCTGCCTCATTACAGGAAAAGAGAGCGTAAAATAGTTGGAGAGGAGGGAGGAGAGGAGTAGAAGATATATCCTATACTTGCTATGTGTTGTTAGACATGTTTTGGTATTGTTTAATGTAAAGAAAACACAGCAGAGTAGACAGGCTTGGCGATGTTAAGGTGAGGGGAAAAAATTGCCATTGTTAGATGTGGTGGGAGCCTATTTGCACTATTAACTTTGTTTCATTTACACTTTTACTCTTTCTACCTCGATCTTTCATCTAGTGCACCTGGTTGAGTCCGAGGAGATGGCTGAATCTACAGGAGTACCAGAGCAAGAAGCTGATGCAAGAGAGTGGCGTAGCTGTCCAGCGCTTCTATGTGGCTGACACAGCTTCTGAGGCACTGGAGGCTGCAAAGAGACTCAGTAAGTAGAGGACACACATACAGAGACATGTGATTCACTTATGTCAGCAGCTGCAATACGTTGTTGTTTAATATTGGTTTGTACCAGTGCTCATTCGTGGATTTCACTGATACATTACTTGAAGCTGTATGTTCAATGATTATTTGGGATCTGTCACAGTTTTTCACATTTATGGTAAATGGCCTGTATTTGTATAGCGCTTTTCTAGTCCCTAAGGACACACCTGTCATCCACCCATTCACACACACATTCACACACTGGTGATGGCAAGCTACATTGTAGCCACAGCCGCCCTGGGACGCACTGACAGAGGCGAGGCTGCTGGATACTGGCGCCACCGGACCCTCTGACCACCACCAGTAGGCAACGGGTGAAGTGTCTTGCCCAAAGACACAATGACCGAGACTGTCCAAGCCGGGGCTCGAACCGGCAACCTTCCGATTACAAGGCGAACTCCCAACTCTTGAGCCCCCAATTTAATGAAAAGCAAGTTTAAGGTCAGTCTCAAATAAACTGGTGAGTCTGTGTTATAGCAGTCAGAATTGTGTTATTTTCAATTATTTTCATGCAGTATAGATTCAGCAAGTGCACTTGACTGTATTGCATTTGTAGCTCTCTTTTAAACACAGATGTAGTGAGGCATAAGCTAATTCCTAATTATTCTCTTACTGTAGTTTTAATGAGTTAGTGTAATGGTAAACGGTAATTGTATTGCTGTACCCAGTAAAACCTTAACGGTCCTATTTGTGCCGCATGGCTCTTTGGCCCTGCTACCCAATGTGCAAATGGCTGTGTTTGCAATTTAACAAGGCTCGAAGTTTTATCATGTTAAATTCCATCTTTGCTGTTTGCGTACGTGTGGGAGCTTGTGTTTTTGTGGTAGTGCCTGGTCAGTTTTTCATCACGGCATTCATCCATACTAATTTGTTTCGCAACCTCTCATATGAAGTTTCATATATAAGTGTCAAGCTTTTGTTTGGGTGTGTGTGTGTTGTATAAAATTCAACTTGCTGCCTCACACAGTCATACAATGTAAGGTAGTGGCCAAAATTGTGATTTTTCTTTTTCTGTTTTTGTACTTGTGGTACAAATTTTCACAGATGCATTGTAAGCACAGTGTTAAGCACACATACATATGTGTGTGAACCTACATCTGTCCTCTACCTTCCCTGTTCTACTTTCCTTTCACACACCAAATTGTCCAACACGTATAGTGTGTATTTCCACCCCCAGCTTTATATTTTATTCAGTGTCCTCTCTAGCTACAGCAGCAGCTTTCTGATAGTGCCTCCAGGTTGGTTGTCAGCCAGTGAGGTGCCACTCTTACTGCTGCCTTTGGGCTCAAGCGCCTGGGGCGCTGCTTTCAGTGGCCCTGGTTAAGATGCTGGCAAAGATAAACTGAATAGGGGAAGAGAATATATATTTTCATGACAGTATCTAGAATGTATTGCTTGGTAGGGGATGAAATGGAGAGTCGGAAAACTTGGACAGAAGAGTTCGAAGGGTAAAATGTAATTTTTCTGCACTTACATAGCTTATTTTACACATACCTGAATTTTAAGGCCATGTTTTTCTTGTTCACTCATTAACAAACACATTAAAACACAAATGGCAGCGTTCACCTGCCATCAGGAACAACTTGGGGTTCACTCTGTTGCTAGCTCTGCCATTAGTTTACATTCCACACTACCACCTAAATTACAGCACAACAGTGGAATGGACAGTCTAATGAAACCGTCAGACAGCCTTAAAGGCATGTGTGCTCTCAATTCAGACAGCATTTGTCCATTGACAGTACATGCACTCACCAACCATTCACATATTCAGGTTTTCTTTGTCATGCAAATACTGAAAGGTGATTTAAGTGAGTTTCAATGTGGCATGGTTGTAAGTGCCACATTAGTTAATGGGCTGGTCCGTGTATTTCAGGAACTGCTGAACTACTGGGATTTTTCCGCACAACCATCTCTTGTATTTCATAGAGAATGGTCTTTAAAAGAAGAAATATCCAGTGAGCAGCATTTCTCTGGAGAAAAATGACTTGTTCATGTCAGCAGTCAGAGGAGAATGACCAGAGTGCTTCTAGCTGACAGGAACGAAACAAAGAATCACTCGTTAGAACCAGGGTATGCAGAAGACCGTCTCTGAAAGAAAAACATAATAGAACCTTGAAGAAGATGGGCTACAGCAGCAGAAGACCACACCGGGTGGCACTGACTCATTAAAGTTAGAGAGAAGATTGGAAAAACATTGCCTGGCTTGATTCTTGATGTCTGCTGCAACATTTGGGGGTGGCAGCAGCTCAGGAGGTAGAGCAGGTCATCTACTGATTTGAAGGTTGGTGGTTTGATGCCAAACATCCTTGGGCAAGATACTAACCCCAAGTTGCTCTGTGATGCATCCATCTGAGTATGAATGTGTGCCAATGTTAGAGCACTTAAAGCAGGGGTGGGCAACTCCAGGCCTCAAGGGTTGATGTCCTGCAGGTTTTAGATCTCACCCTGGGTCAACACACCTGAATCAAGTGATTAGTTCATTACCAGCCTCTGGAGAACTTCAAGACATGTGGTACGAGGAGGTAATTTAGCCATTTAAATTAGCTGTGTTGGATCAGGGACGCATCTGGTGTGAGTAGGTTAATGTGACATGTTGTATAAAGCGCTTTGAGCGCTCCAGGAGAGTAGAAAAGCGCTATATAAGAATCAGTCCATTTACGAATTACATTTGGATTGTGGTCATATGGCATAAACAACTTCCATCCTGCCATCATCAATTAAAGTGCTAATAGTGAGGAAATGGGTTTGCATTATCTTGGTGCACTCTTAGTATCAGTTTAGCATTGTGGCCTCCACAGTCACCAGTTCTCAATTTCATGTAGTTTTATTGATCTTATTTCTTATCATATCATAAACAAATCGCATGAGCAGTCACAAAATTATGAGCTGAAAATTGGTAGGAACACATTCAAATTACAGCTCCCGCAGCTGACTGGGACCTTTTTTATGTTACTAATGCATTTCCAGTGTCCCTGACAACAAATATGTTAACCCAAGTTTTTGCAGTAATTTCAAGTCAGCTTGGTTAACCAATCCCTTGCTTCCCATAGTCCCTCAGAGCAGCTTTGCCCTAATATCTCTATTCATGCACTGGGCTTTGGTTGGTCCTTATCTGTGTGTGTCTTGCACTTTTTGTGCCCTTTGACTACTGCTGGCTCGCTAATAAAGCATGCAAGTGAGCATCCACATATGGTTCATTTCTTCAGACACACACTGACTGACTTTGTCTGGGCCATTTTAGGTCATACATAAATGTGTTAGAAAGTAAAAAAGGCAGAGATTAATAGTCTTTAGTTGAGATTTGTGGTGCTGATATACAAGCCGAGGCTGTGCCAAGCTTTGTGTCTGAGGCTGTGATGGGAAGGCAGGGAATGGAGCCAGCCTAGGATGAAGATCTATTTCATGGCTTTCCACTGTAGAGGACACGTGGTATGGCTCTCTACAAAAGATATGGATGTTTGGGGTATCTGAGCTGATCAGAGTGACTCACATGGATTTCGATGTCCTGCTGCGAACCCCTGACGTACACACAATTGAATGAACTCATCAAACATTGAAGCACGGGCACAGATGAATGACATTCATGGAGTAGGCTTGCTTCTATGAGCACACAAACACTCAAACATTCACACCAACTAGTACACTCCTCTCTGCTCTCCTCTCTTAACCGTGAAGTGGTTAAATTGGCAGTTCAGTCACAGCAATGTTACACAGGAAAAAAAACTCTCATTCCTCTCATGGACTGTGGAGTGGTCCAGCTCTGGTAAGGTGGGCACAGACCGATTTGTTCTATTGCTGCTGAGGACAAACAGATTTTATCCTTCTCTATCAAAGCATTAAAAACATGTATCTGGAGCAGACTTTTAATTCGCTTTAACTTGAATGACACTCTTAGGGGAGAGTTTGCATTGCGTCAGATGGGTGATTCGCTACCAGGTAATGGCTCATAGAAAGTAGAGTTTGATTTCTTTAGTGTTGTACTGGGTGAGTCCTGCAGGGAGCTTTTGTGATGGCTGGTCCACTGGGACACTGAAAACGTTACCACACTAACTGCTGCTGTCGGTCCAAAACCAGTGACCCACATCCACTATTCACATTCACAAGCTACTAATTTTTGTATTTTGTGTGTGTATATGCATGTACAGATTACAGTTTACATCTACAAATTACACTTTTCCTTTTAATAATTTCTTAATCTAACTGTAACCCACCTAAAATCTGCCTCATGAAAATGAACTGCTGTTCCCCAAGAATGTCAGTAGGTGGCACTATGAGATTGTTTAGTGCTTGTGAACTTGAGTTGAGAACTATAGAGAAGGAGAATAGCGCTAAGGCTACGTATGCTGGTCGGAGCTACTCACAGAGTTTTTCCTTAACCTTTTTCTTGAACAAGGATTGTGTGTGAAGACACAAATTGGATTTTACTTTTCCGCTTGTTGGGAAACGCGGACACTTTTTGTTGATGCTGATGTACCTCTGTTTTTGTGTTTTTTGTTCATTTCCGGTGAGTTGACTAACTGCGCTAGCATAGCAAGCTAATCGTTAGCTCAGTATAATGTAAATTTCATGTGTTCCTTTTAAGTGCTGTATTATCTTTTTATTTCTTCACTTGTGAATGTTTTAAGCCAATCGGAAATATTTCTTTGGAAGCTAGTAGGTAAGTTTTATTTATTGTAATGAGATGATAAATATGAGCAGTCTTTGGCTAAATAGTACTGCGACCACGTTTTGCACTTTCCTCGTGCATCAGTAATGTACATTCTCTCAATTCATTGGATTGATGTGACTGCTGTTCACAAAATATGAGATTTGAGTTAAATTTGTATGATGTGGAAATTGTTTTAAGGTTCTTTAATTTTATTATTGATTGCATTAAGTCGTTATATACAAAGAGTGAGAGACATTTGGTCACTAGTGTTGATTAAGTTGTTATATGATATTCAT